TCTCACTACTTAGATCAGACTTGTAGTGATCCTCCTGTTTTCAGCCTCCCAAGTGCTGGGATTACAGGCGTGCCACCACGCCCAGTCTCAATTGCCATCTCAGCATGCCCTGGGAGCGGGGCCAGCACAGCACAATGGGGATCGAACCCAGGCCGATGCATGCTACCCAAGTAGGTGCTTTAGTCCACTGAGCTATCTGGCTGGCCCTAGATTAATTTTAAAAGTATTTGAGTTAACTAATAAATTAGTGTGCAATTTTGTCCATTTGGGTTTGAGTGGTTCCAGGACTTAGCCTATATTGGGTATAAGGACTTGCCTCTATCAATACTTCTTATGTACTTGGGGAAAAATCACAGCTCAGCTGCGGTTTTCTAATCTACAAAATAAAGATGGTGCTCACCCCTAAATGTCCACCTCCTTCCCAGGTTCTAAAGGTTAAACTGAATCAAATAGTCATTGTAGCATTTCTCTGAGTCTACCTGGATCATACGGAAACAAGAGTCACAGGGAAACAGGGGGAAGCCAAGCCCCTAACCAACTCCAGAAACCATATCCTTAGCAGCTGCCCCAGGGATGAAAAGGCTCCAAGGTTAATGTCCAGCAAGCACAGGAAACTAAGTGCCTGGGGATAGAACACTAAACAGGATTATCATATTATTAATATTTTGTAATATATTTGGTATAGGGTCTCACTGTGCAGCTTGGACTCATAGTGATCCTCCTGTTTTCAGCCTTCTCAATGCTGGGATTACAGTGGTGTGCCACCATGTCCAGTCTCAGTGGCTGGCTCAGTGAGCCCAGGGGCAGGGCTGGCTAGGCCTGTGGTGCCAGAGATCAAATGCTGGTCCATGAGCTTGCCTAAGCAGGTGTTAAGTCTGCTGAGCTATCTCGCTGGACCTTAAACAGGATTATTCTGTGCCATATCTGGAGAGTCTCCTCCACTTCCTCTGGTAACAGTGGGTCACTGTTACCAGCCCTCAGCCTCACCCCTTGAGTCATGGCCGTCCCTGGATATCCTGAGTCCCACATATGCCACAGACTTACCTTCGTAACAGCAGTCTGCCAACCCTGAAGAAATTCAGGTCTGTTTTTTTCTCTAGCTTCAGTCAGCAAATACTTTCTTATATTCTGGTTAAAAAGAAATAACACAGAGGCTCTGTTCCATCAGTCGGTGAAAAATGGAACCCATCCACAGCAGATAGAATCAGAGGCAGCTGTGGCCACAAGTCTGGGGCAGAGGATACATTGCAGAGCTAGGTTTGTTAGTTCCATTAAAGGTGGAACTTTATTCCTAAGCTTTCATTTCATATGGTTATGGAAGACTCAGCCTTTCTGCTTTCAAGGTATGAACTCAGACTGTGGACACCGCTGCTTGTTTTACTTAGCACAGTTTATGTTATCCACCTTGCCCAGGAGTTTGTCAATTTACATACTGGCACAGCAGACAGTCTGAATCACTGCCAGTATTCACCTAGGAAAGGAAGCCATGGAAGAACTCAGCAGTGGCTAAACAAAGTGGAAAACTGCACAGGCAGAGACAGGATCCTTATCTTTGAAGGAGGTAGGAAAAGTGACATTTGGTTTCAGAAAGTTATTTCAACCCATTCTGAACACTGCATAGTCAGGTCCATGTGGGAGTCTCTACCACGATGAAGCCTGGAGTTTCAAGCTGTTCCTGTGCCCTCAGCCTCTCTCTGTCCATATTTCTGTTTATCAAAGGTGATATCTTAATCTTCCATTTTTATTTTGAGATAAGGTCTCGTTGAATCAAGTTGCCCAGGGTAGGTTCAAGCTTACAGCTCTAACACAAAGAAATTTTAAATTATAAAATGGTCTAATTTATTAAGTTGTTCCTTGTGTCTTTGGTGGGAAGGTAACAAAATCTTCCTAATTCAGGAATATAGCTTATGTATTTTATTCAAAACACTTTTATACTTTTTTTTTTTTTTTTTTTTTGGCAGAAGTGGGGATTGTACTTGGGCCCATGGCAAGTGCTTATTCTACTGAGCTATTTCCCCAGCCCCTATAATTTTGTATTTAGATCTTATATCTGAAATGTTTTATGAATAGTATCTATCTATCTATCTATCTATCTATCTATCTATCTATCTATCTATATGACTTTTCCAAATAGCCTAATTTTCTCACTGTCATAACTAGCTGAGTTTTTTGGTTTTTGAGACAAGGTCTTGCTATTAGTTCAGGCTGGCCTCAAACTCATGGCAACCCTTCAGCCTCAGTCTCCTAGAGTGCTAGGATTATAGCCATGTGCCACACCTGGGCCTAAATAGTCTATCTTTCCCCAACTAAATTCTCATTTATACATGAGAAAAGTTATTTCTGGATTCTTCATGCTATTTCACCAATTTGTCTATTCCAAGGCCAATATAGACAGTTTTAATTATTAAAAGATTTTGTAGGGCCAGGGATATAGCTCAGTGGCACAGCACCTACCTAGCACGTACAAGGTCCTGAGTTCAATTCTTGGTACAAAAACAAATAAACAGGGGCAAGCATTAAAAAAAAACTGTAACATGGTTTGGTAACTAGTAGATTAACTATATTTTCTCAATTCTAGCTCACCCCTGTTTTCGCTGTCCATGCATATAAATTCTGCAATATGAAATCTAGGAACTATTTAAGTTCCATTTAAAATACTGTTGAGAAATTGATTAGGCTGAACACTGGTATAAACTGGCTTGAACAGAACTGATCTCTTTCCAATTTTTAATTTGTTTATCTGATATCTATTGAGAGTTCTTTTAAATATTCTTAGAGTTTTTACCATAAAGGATTTCCACAGTTCTTGCTAGGTGATATATGCCTGAGTAGCTTCCATTTTGTTGCCTTCATAAATACAATCTCATGTTTTTCATTATATTTTCTGGCTGGTTCTTGACTGCAGAAAAGATTTTGTGGCTTTTGTGTTTTACTACCCTGTTGAACTAATATGAATCTTAGCCGAACTCTTAATATTGTGCCAGTTGATTTTTCTATGTTGTGACTTGTTCTACTTATTTTGAAGATAGAAGCCTATGTTAGCACTAAGAGAAACCTAGGAAAATAGTGTATCCATATCCAAGAAGCAATTTTAAAGGAAACACACAAAAAGTGCTGACAAAAATTCTTTATGGGGTGGAGGAGAGAATTCTACACAGCATCTATGTACTTTTTCTTCTTTTATGTATTTAGTACAGGGTCTCACTACATAGATCAGACTTTTAGTGACCCTCCTGTTTTTCAGCCTCCCAAGTGCTGAGATTACAGGTGTGCACCACTGGGGATCGAACTCCCTGCCCCTGCATCTGCCTAAGCAGGCACTTTAATCCGCTGAGCAATATATCTGGCTGGCCCCCATCTATGTATTTCTGAAAGGATATGAATCATAGCAGCTACTTCCTCTCCCCATCTGGAAAGTTCTCTGTAGTCCTTTTTCTCTGCCCCTAGTTAAGAAATCTCTCAGAACAGAAACTCTTTCTTTATACCTCTGACTGCTGGTCCACACTAGAGCTAAGATGGATTTGGCCAATCACAAGATAAACGAGGGAAGAGGCAGGATATTAACTTACCTCTACACAAAACTTAAAATGAATGCCTTGTGAATCATAAAATGAAATAATTCGATTAGAGAGTGTCACTGTAATGAGAGACCAGTGGACTTCCAGGTGAATAGGAATCAATAGAAGGCTCTTTTTAAACAAATCCACCTATGAAGGAAAGAGAAAGAAATACAGTTCTCATCAAGGAACAAGCAGCAAACGGCATCAAAGGGCCACCAACTGAACTCTGATCTGCCCAAGCTCATAAAACTGGGAAGCACTGAGCCAGCATCTGCACCCAAAATAGTACTCAAAAGCCCATACTTGCAACTATGAGGCTCTAATGTACAACAAAAAGAAAAATGGAAAGGGCTGGCCAAATAGCTCAGCGGATTAAAGTGCCTGCAAACAGGCACAGGGGCCAGAGGTTCAATCCCTGCCGTGCCAGCCCCACCCCTAGGGCACACTGAGACGGCAATTGAGACTGGGCATGGTGGCGTGTGCATGTAATCCCAGCTCTTGGAAGGCTGTAAACAGGCAGATCACTAGGAGTCTGATCTAGTAGTGAGACCCTGAATACCCTACAGACCTTTCCCTAAAAAAAAAAAAAAAGATACAGAGAGCCTGGCTTTTCTTTTAACTTACTAATCTGTGTTAATCAACTGTCCAGTATGACTCGGTCCTTTATTTTTATGCTTACCTAATTTTCTTCCTTTTTTTATCTTTTCTTTTTTTTTTTTTTTTTTGGCGGAACCAGGGACTGAACTCAGGCCCTTGCATTTGCCAGGCAAGCGCTTATTCTACTAAGCCATCTCCCTGGCCTTACCTAATTTTCTTAGGCACATTCTGACCTAGACCCCACTCTCCTTTAGGAAGAAAATACAGCATTAGAAAATAGCAAAAGGCCTACCACTTCCATCTTTCTAGGTACAGATGTTAAGCTTCCAAGCACTAAATCAAGTCTGCTTAAGTTCAAACTGTGGCTCCTCTATCAGTCACATACTTTGTGCCTTGATTTCCTTAACTATAAAATGCAGAAAATAATGGTGCCCATCTTCTGGAGTTGTTGAGAGTAACAAAATACACACAAAAAAAGCACAGAACTGTGCTTATTAGCAAATTATAAGCAACAAATACAACTTAGCTACTACCATTATTTCAAAATGCAAAAAAGACCCTCAAAGCAAGTGGACATTGTGCCTCTCAGACATCAAAATTAACGAATACTTTACAACTCTTCACATACCAATGCATCCTTTACAATTCAAACTTATCCTCTATAATCGAGATAGATTTTCAGTTCCACTCAAAATTCTAGTTGTAGGGGCTGGGGAAATAGCTCAGTAGAATAAATGCTTACCTGGCAAGCACAAGGACCTGAATTCAATCCCCAGTTCCGCCAAAAAAAAAAAAATCCAGTTGTAGATTGGATGATAAAGAACTAAGCACTGCCTAATGTTTAAGAGTGAATGACAAAAAAAAAAAAAAAGTGAATGACTCAGTCCAGGCATGGTGGCACATGCCTGTAATCACAGCAGTGTGGAGGTTAAAAACAGGAGGATCACTACACGTTGAAGCTGCATAGTGAGACCCTGAACAAAATACATTAAAAGAAAAAAGAAGTGAATAACTTTCTTTTACAGATAGTTTTTGAAAACTGTTTAGAGATTCCTTGGGTTAAAACAATCACAAGATTATTATTTTTTTTTGGTGGGGGCAGAACCGGGGCTTGAACTCAGGCCCTTGCATACTGAGCCATCTCCCCAGCCCTAGATTATTTTCTTTTCTTTTTGGCAGTACCAGGGATTGAACCCAAGATCTTGTGCTTGCCAGGCAAACACTTACTCTACTGAGCTATTTCCCCGGCCCCTAGATTATTTTAAATCATTACCAGTCTCAGAACCACTTTTACCTGTCTCCTTTCTTGCACTCTGATATTCAGATAATATCCTGCTATGATGATGGTTTTGCTGGTCTGCAGCCAAGCACTTTAGCACACCTAGCCTGGGGCTCGGGGAGGTGGGCAGCCAACTGCATGCATCTCAGACTAGTCATTCCTTGGGTTTTATGCATTCTATCTCATCCCCTGTCAAGACTGAGGAAAACAGCAGCAATACAGAAATCATACACAGTAGTCTATTCGTTTTTTTCCTCATATAGCCTATTTTGAGTTCTTACCAACAGTTACCCTTATTAGCTTTAAAATAACTCAATACCGCTCTGATATTATTACCTGAAATAAGTCTCATACAAAGTTCACTCCAGAAGGGAGACTATACTAAGAAAGAAAATAAAGGAAGAGAAGGAGAGGACACTGGATAGTACCATTGTATTTATTGTTTGTGGTGCTGTGGGGACTGAACCCAAGGCCTTGTGTATGACAGGCATGTGCTCTGCCACTGAAACGGATCGCCAGCCCTGGACAGGTACTACTGAGGGAAGAACAACCAAGGCCGGCCTCTGAGAAGTGCACACTTGAGTAGAAGTTGTGATGACATGAGGGTGTGAGTTACATGTGCAACCCATTCTCAACTTTCCAAGGTCCCATGGGGTTTCCTGCTTTACCTCAGCTATTCCTTTGTCTGAAAACACAATAAATATGGGTGCTGCAGTGAAGCTTTAGCTCCTTTAAGAGTTCTGACCTTCCTGGATCCCAAAAAGATTATTACTTGTGTCTTTTATGTAAGCCTTTGCTATAACTCATTTTAGGAGACTGAGGGGGAGGCCAAAGCCTTGATAATGTACCTTTCATGCTCAACTTTGTCAGCATTACATCAGTTTGGAATACACTTACTTCAAGAAATAGTGACTGAAAACACAAGGTTTTCCATTAAAATATCCCATGAAATTGATTTATCAACATATTCAATTCTCTTTTTTTTTGTTACTATAATTAGCAGTTAGATGAACTTTTTTAAACAGAACTTTTTGAAATTTCATCAGAATTATCAGTCAATAAATTACCAAATCAAAGAACTGAAATTCACAATTGGCAAGAATATTATAAATCAAAGGTGAAGTTTAGAGGAATTAGGAAATCTCCCAAGATCTACAGCTGGTTAAGTGGCCAAACTAGGATCTGAACTCAGTGGGGTTGGGGAGATGACTCAGTAGAATAAGCACTTGTCTGGCAAGCGCAAGAGCCTGACTTCAATCCTTGGTTTCGCCAAAAACAACAATAACAACAAAAAAAGAGACATAGGATCTGAACTCAAGTCTGATTCCTGAATTGACTGTATCTTCTCTCAAAATTTGTACCCTTCTCAATATGTACTTTACACAAAATTAATTCTGTCCATAATGATGTAAGATAAGACTCAGTGTTTCCAGTCCATCTAGTTAAAATCTTTTATTTTTTATTTTTTCCAGTGTTGGGATCAAACCCAAGGTCTTGCGGATACGAGGCCAAGTGCTTAACCAGAGAACTATGTCACAACCCCAGTCCTCCAACCAGTCTAAAAACCAAAAAGTCAGCCAGGAGTAGTGATGAACACCTCCATCAAAAGCTCCAGCCTAGGGATGTGGATACAGCTTGTCGGCCTAAGTGCCTATGTAGCAAGCACAAGGACCCAAGTTCGAGCCCTGAAACCAGGTATAGTGGTATACGCTTGTAATCCTAGTGCTGGGGAGGCCGAGACAGACAGATCACTAAAAGTCTGAACTGCATAAGGAGACCCAGAATTAAAAAAAAAAAAATCACCTTCCACCCTAGCCTGGGCAATTTAGCAAGACTTTGTGCCAAAATAATCAGTATGGGCCAGCCAGATAGCTCAGCAGTCTAAAGTGCCTGCTCATGCAGAGCACAGCAGTGGGTTTGATCCCTGGGATGCGGTAATGGCTCCGCCCTCAGGGCGCACTGAGATGGTGAGTGAGACTGGGCTTGGTGGCGCACGTCTGTAATCCCAGCACTTGGGAGGCTGAAAACAGGAAAATCACTACGAGTCGGATCTGTGTAGTGAGATCCTGTAGACCCTGTACTAAATACATTAAAAAACAAACAACAAAACCACACACACACACAAAAGCTCACTTTATAAAGGACTGGGGAGACAACCTGCTCTGGTCCCCCTTTGTCCTTCTTTCAAACAGGAGCTTTATTTTTCTCAGTAAATATATTCTGCTCTTAAAAAAATAAAAATAATAAAGGACTAGGTTTCTATCCTCATTACCAATCACTGAAAAATTAAACTATCTGAAGAACTGAACAGAATTTAAACTTCTTGGTAAATTTTGTCAAAGTATGAGAAACAGAACATAAATGAGCTTTTAAATTAATGCTTCTGGCAGAGTCAATGAAAGCAATGTAAGACTATCCCCACTTATTTCCTTATACAACTGAGCAATCTAAGGATCAAGCTGCGTGTCCTGTCCAAGTCTCATAATAAGCTAACAGCCATGCTCTTTCAATTCTTCAGATGCCAATCCATTGGGAGATGTAAAAGCTTCACTAGTGCCTTGCTATTCAGACAATGAGATTTTTAAAAATTCACATTAAAATTTGTTTCTGGGACTGGGGAGATGGCTCAGTGGAATAAGCGCTTCTCTGGCAAGCTCAAGGACCTGAGTTCAATCCCCAGTTCCGCAAAAAAAAAAAATAAAATAAAATAAAATTTGTTTCTAATTAACATGCTGCATTAAAGTTCTCATCCCATCACTCAAAGTGGCCTACTGCCCATTTCAAATTTATTTATTCATTTTTTAAACAAGCTTTATTATTTTTTATTTATTTTTTAACATATTTAGTACAGGATCTACAGGGTCTCACTACACAGCTTGGACTTGTAGTGATCCTCCTGTTTTCAGCCTACCAAGCACCGGGAGTGCGTACAACCACACCCAGTTTCAATAGCCATCTCAGCGCACCCCAGGGGCAAGGCAGACATGGCATGCTGCAGATTGAACCCTAGTCCCTGCGCCTGCCTAAGCAAGCGCTTTAGTCCACTGAGCTATCTGCCAGCCCCCATTTCAAATTTAGAATAAATGAAATGATACTTTGCCTGGCAAGCACAAGTACCTGAGTTCAATCCCCAGTTCCACAAAAAAAAAAAAAAAAAAAAGAAAAAGAAAAAAGAAATGATACCTTTTTAGTCCATCTCTTAACTCCATTATATCCTTTGGTTACCAGCTGTCTATGAAAAAAGCTGTTGAAGAAGTGTACCTAGAACAGACAGCAAACACAAGTAACCAGATTAAATTAGGGTATACCCAGATTTAATGTCAAAAAAAGGGAAAATGTTTAAATGTGTGAACATAAAATAGAGAAAAAGTTTCTTCTTAAAAATAATGATCAAAATACAGACAATACATTACATGGTCTATAGAAGATTCTGTCCCCAGTTTTCATTAGAATGACCTCATAGCTGTGGTCTACAGTCAGAACTGGAGTGGGGCAGTAAGCACATTTACCTGATTGCAATCAAGTAGAGAAGCAACCTGACAAATCTCTCCAAATCAGGTGATAAAGTTGAAAGAGGCTATGAAAAAATGAGGGAACGATTACCTTGAACTCAAGAGATATGGATTATAAAACTAACCCCATCTGAAGGAGGGGGATTTGGAGATTCCTGTATCACAACTATGAAAAGGCCTTAGCATAGTCCTTTTGGTACTGAGAGAATTACCCTGACCATAGCAAGTGTCAGGGCCTGAATCCTCCACTTCAGGTTCCTGGCTTACAAGTGTTATCAGCTCACATGAAACAGTGCACACAGTGTGATCCCGAAGTGTTCACTCTAACTTTGACTAACTTGAGATACCAAACTGTTTCTGGAGCACTGAGATTCTCAGAGTGTGGTAACCAGACCAGAAGAATCAGCAACACTTGGCAACATGTTAGAAATCCAAATTTGCAAGCCCCATGCCATGCCTGCTAAAACAGAAACTTCTGAGGGTGGAGCCTAGAAGTCTGGTTTTCTAAATCTTCCAGATGATTCTGAGGTACATTCGTTTGGGAACCAAGCAATCAAACATAGATAAGAAGGGTTTGGGTAGCCATCTCTAAAACAGTGATTCTTAAGTTGGGCCATGCCTTCAGAATCACCTGGAAGGCCTGCTAAAACCAGAATATTGGGCCTCTGGGCTGAGGTCTGAGAAGGTACAGTTCTAACAAGCTCCCAGGTGATGCTGGTACTGCTGTCTGGGGACCACACTGTGACCCCCTGCTGCAGTTTCCTTTTAGGGGCTGGTGTATAGCTCAGTGGTAGAGTGTATGCATACCATGCATGAGGCCTGGGACTGGATTCCCAGAACTGCAAATAAGCAAAAGAATGAACTGTTTCTCTACTATATTCGTAAAACAAAACATTCCCATGACTTCAAAATGTGTGAGGATTTCTCCACCAGCAAGCAAGCAAGCAGCTCTTTATTGAACACTAAAATTTGACTTAGAAAATATAGAGATAATGAAAGTCAAATATTTGAAGTCAGTAATTTATGTTACAATTTGTGTATCAAATGATTAAGAACATTTGATCAAAAATCTCAGTTCACCTCAAGATTCTCACTTAAAATGCTTGAGAGCCAGGGATACAGCTCAACAGCACAAGTGCCTACCTGGCAAGCTCAAAGGCTTGAGTCTGATTCCCAGTACCCCGCAAAAATAAAACACATAAGAGATTTGTAATTTTAAATGTAAAATTATCAAATGTTTTCTGTATTTATAAATAAGCTAGTCTGGGGATATAGCTCAGTGGCACAGCACTTGCCTGGCAAGCACAGGGTCCTGAGTTTGATTCCTGGTATCAAACAAAACATAATAACACATTTCAAACCAAAGGCCTTTACACTAAGCTGCATTTCCAGCCCTTTTTCTATTTTTATTTTGAGACAGGGCCTTATTAAGTTGTTAAATTGCCCAGCCTGGCTTGAACTTGTGATCTTGCCTCAGTCTCCTTGAGTTCTATAAAGTCAGACATTATTCTGCCCATTGGAATACCTGGAAAAAAATATTACACTTAAATGTAGTTTTAGTATGTAACTAAGCTCTTAAGAGAATTTGTACATATACATATATACACACACAATAAAGTTATTCTGTTTTAATTTTGGAGGGGAAGATTGGGAACTGAACCCAAGATCTTTGCCCGGAGCTAGATCTAATCCCTTTTTAAAAATTCTGACATGGATCTATTAGTCCCCAGATGGCCAGATGGGCCTAGAGCTCTGCCTGAACCTCCCAGAGTGCAGGGATCACAGACATGGTCACTACATAGGCCCTGTTTTACATTTTTAACAAAAATTAAGACTTGAAATTGTTCTTTTTGTGCATCTTTCCCCAAGAAGAGCCCCTTTAAAATAGCAATAAACACATCCAACTAGACACAAATTAGAAAGAAAAAGCTGGCACTGTGAATTTCTTATGCAGAAGTGATTTGATAAAACTTAAGTCCAACCTTAGTATATGATCAAGACATCATCTAATCCTTATTTTAAAAACCTCAGAACCATTAAGTAATTTTATTTAAAAAATAAAACAAGGTGGGCAGGGGAAGATAGCTCAGTAGAATAAGCATTTGCCTGGCAAGTGCAAGGTCCTGAATTCAATCCCCAGTACCACATATACATACATACATACATACATACATACGTACATAAATAAATAAACAACCAAACTCTACACTTTGTAATACACAGGCCCCTCCTAAAGAGGAAGTTTTCACTTACTTTATCTGGGACTGCATCCATTATCAGCTCGCCGTACATATTAATGACCTACAAAAAGTAAAATCAGCTTACTAACCCTATATAATTCAGAATTTCTGAAGCAGAACAAATAACATTGATACTAGTAACAGTAATCAAGCTTTCTGGATCCTAGTATTAATGAGTCACTTCAGTACAGAAGAACTTTAAATTTCTAAAGATAAATATAATATGGTCAAATTTCTATGACACTGACCAATGTTCTGCACCACTGATACACAGAACCTGCAATACACTGACCTGGTCATTCAGCCAGTTCTGACCATCCAGAGTGGCCAGATCATCCATATCTAGCATGTGCTTATTGTAGAAGATGCGGAAGTTGCATTTTTGATGTCTAGCCCGATAGTTTGTTATTTCCCTATTTATAAATGGTTTTCTGAAACAGATTTTGAAAGAAAAACACATGAGTTCTACTAGATGTACTAAGTATCTTTTTTTTTCTAAATTTTCACATGTTTAACTTTAACACCACTGACATACCTATTAGAAAAGTCTTCATTAAAGACATCTTTTAATCTTGCAAGAACATCTTTTTCACTGAGTGGGACCAAACTGCCATACTTTTTCATAACCTCATCTAGGAATCCTTTAAGATAAAGAAAAAAAAATTAAGATGGAAAAACAAACTTTTCAGCAAAGTCGCTCTCCCAATACTTACTATATATGCAATGGTTAACACCTTCCTTTCCCTTTATTATAACACATTACATATATATTTTGGGGTGATTTTTTTTCCCCCGGAAGTGGGGATTGAACTCAGATCCTTGCATTTGCCAGTCAAGCGCTTATCTTACTGAGCCATCTCCCCGGCCCTATATTTTTTTTGTACTGGGGATTGAACTCAGGACCTTGCGCTTGCCAGGCAGATGCTATGCCTCTAAATTATATCCCCAGCTCAACACAGTATTTTTTTTCCCCCTAAACCAAGGATTGAACTCAGGCTCTTGTGCTTGCCAGGCAAGTGCTTATTCTACTGAGCCATCTCCCTGGCCCCAACACAGTATATTCTTAAATAAATTGTTTAAAGTTTATCCCCAGCTACTCAGGAGGCTTAGGGGTAGGAAGATCACAAGTTTAAGGCCAGCCTGGGCATCTCAGTGAGACCCTGTCTCAAAATTTAAAAAAGCAGGTGATGTAGCTTAGTGGTAAATCCCTTGTGAGACCCTGGGTTTGATTCTCAGTCTTGTGAAATGGAAAAAGAAAACAAAAAATAGAATGGATTAAGTCCTCGCCATTCTAACAAGAAATGCTGAGGCACTATCTTATACTGAATTTTTAAACTACTGATGCATTATTAGAGAGCTGGCTAAAACCAAAAACTGCCATATTCCCATAGCATAAGGGACATTCCCTCCCAGCAAATGGCCATTTAATCTAAGTTGTGGTTTCCCTAGGACACATTTGTCAGAGAAACCACATTTAAACTTGCAGATAAGCATTTATGATATGCTATACCTGTACAAGATTTAAAATTAAGGACCAAATAGCTCAGAGGATTAAAGTGCCTGCAGCAATGATCCTGAGAATCTTCAGAAGATTTTTTAATCTAGCAGTTAATTGGAAAGGTTCTCACCCTGACTAACTATATATACTGATACCTGTGAACTAAGCTACTGCACTGCAGATGGTAATTTGTAACAGTAGTTTCATGTTTGGAGTGCCTGTCATTCTGGTAATCTGAATATGGGCAGCCTGTCATGACATGCCAGTTACTGCTATGATGTCTCTCGGGTAGGTGGATGTTCAAGAAGAAGGGGGTGGTGAATGAAAGCAAGAGACAGGAAAAGGAATATTGTGGGACTGTCCTGCTTCAAGGTTGTATATGATGAGATTTTTGGACTTATGTGCAAACATGAGAAGTATATAATTCTTTATCCTATTTTTAAAATATAATGTAATTTTTAAAATGTTTTTATCATATTATTCAGGGACTTAAAGTTCAACATATCACTACTTGATGAAAAATACCTGCTCCTTATGATGCCTAAGATGTTTGAAATGCAGTGAGATAGTGAGGTTAAGCTTAATAGCCTAAATCGTATGGTAATAACAATAAGTGTTTTCTGGATGGTTAACAACCTAAGTTTGCAGACCAAAATTAGAGATAAAGGAGGGCTACAAGGAATGCCAACATTTTGGCCCTAACCTTCTAAGGTCAATTAAGACTCAGGACATATGAGAACTTGTACTGTAATGTCATGTACCTCGGTAGTGTCCCAAATTTTCTGATCAAGAAGATTATGAGGCCAAAGAGGAAAGTGATCGATGACGTAGAGTGTACCTAAGGAGAGTCACATAGGGAGAAGACACTCTCTCAGGCTTTCACAGAGAGCACATTGGCCAAGCAATGGCCGTGACTCATCCACATGGCTGCACTGACAAAGGTTCTACAATCTGAGGTACGGGATCTCAAGATAAATCCTGAGGACATTTCGCTGACCTTCTCAGACCAAAAAGCTACAACTCTTGTTGCATAGGTCCTGCTTTACCTTGGTCTTAACCATCCAGTAGAAAAGTATGAAGACGAAATATAGGAAATAAAGCCATGCTGTTATGTTGAGCTGTGGGGGACTCAGGTCAATAATTTCTGACATTGCCAGTTAAACAGAAGACCCAATGCTATTATGGGCTACTGGACTCTTTTAGAATATTTTGCTGAATTTACACACCTATAATATTCAATAACAGAACTTAGAAAAAATGGGGTATACCGATGAATGTCCATTTTGTATCTGTGTATTCCAAGTGGTTAGGATAGATATATAGTTGCATTCTCTTAATGAATAGAATGATTTGTTCTAATGGTGTTTGTAAATAGGATCACAAGTCCACTTCTTGTACAGCAATTAACCACTAAGAAGAATATATGCAGTGTGTTATTTGTTGAAACTGTACTTCCGATTGGATTTGAAACTGTCTCATTGCTGTTTATCAATAAAACTTTGAAAAAAATAAAAAATAAAAAAAATAAAGTGCCTGCAGGCCCCAGGCCTACCATGCCAGGCCCTGCCCCCGGGGTGTGCTGAGACAGCAATTGAAACAGAGCGTGGTAGCTGTAATTCCAGCTCTCGGGAGGCTGTAAACAGGCGGATCACTACAAGTCTGATCTAGTAGTGAGATCCTGAACACCCTATAGATCCTTCCCTAAAATAAAAATTTTTAAAAACCCATGATTTAAAATTCTTTGTTTCTATTTATTCATTTTTATTTTTGGTCCTAGGTATTGAACTCAAAGCTTTGAACACACTAAGCACACTCTATCATGTTATACCTCCAGCCCCAAGATTTTAATGCTTATGGAGTCTTCTGTTTTTTTGACAGGGTCTCTCTCACTCTGTTGCCCAGCTGGTCTCAAACGCAGAATCAAGCAATCCTTCTGCCTCAGCCACCAGGAACAGTGGGACAGGCCTATGAAAAGATGCTCAACATCACTGATAAGGAAAATGCAAGTTAAGACCTAAAGTGAAATGCCTCACATGTGTTAGAACAGAGCTTTTATCAAAAAGACAAATGTAAATTAGTACAACCATTATGGAAAATGGTATAGAAGGCTGGTAATTTTAAAAAGAGGGGACCTGGGTTCGATTCCTAGTACCACATGCCATGCTGGCCCCAGAACCCTAGGTGCACTGTGCCGGCCCCGGAACCAGGTAGGGTGGCGCACACCTGTAATCCCAGCACTGGGGAGGCTGAGACAGGGGGATCACTAAGAATCTGAGCTGCATAGCAAGACCCTGTACCAAATAAATAAATACAAGATTTAAAAATTTTTTTTAAAAAGAGATGAGCATGGTGGTAAACATCTGTGATCCCAGCTACTTAAGAGACCAAGATGGAGACATTCACAAATTTGAGTCCAGCCTGGAAAACTTAACAAGACTGTTGGGGTGGGCATTCCTGGACAATTTATTTCTATGAACACAGCTCCCATAATCAGGGCTAAAGTCTCAAAAGAACACAATTTTTGTCTAACGTTTTTTGTCTTTTGTGGTGCTAGGGATGCCCACTTGGCAAGTGCTATACACTGAGCTACACTGCTAGCCCTAGGTTGGTTTGTTTGAGGTACAGAGAAGAATGTCAGGGCTCAAGCATGCCAAGCTAGCACTCTGCCACTAAGCTCCACTCCGTGCCCCATAAGAATACTGGCAGCGGGGCTGGGGAGATGGCTCAGTGGAATAAGTGCTTGCCTGGCAAGCACAGGGGCCTGAGTTCAATCCCCGGTTCTGCAAAAAAAAAAAAAAAAAAAAGAATACTGGCAGCACAAGGGACCAAACCCCAGCGCCTTCGCGCTTGAACTTGTGATCTTCCCACCTAAACCTTCTAAAGTGTTAAGATTATGGGTGTGTACTACTATGCCTGGCACTGAGGGTTTTTTCCTAAGTTATTTTTTAAATGTCATCCTGTTTCTTTTCAGTTTTACTAAAATATGACTAACATACCACCAATTCCAACCTCTTACAGAGTATGATTCAGTCATGCAAACCATACTACAACCTAATTCCACAACATCTGCACCTCCCCCAACAGGCCTGAACTCATTAGCAGTAATTACTTACCATTCTCCTCTCCCCAGCTCCTCAAAATAATCAACTGTATTTACATTTTTTGGCATGTGAAATGAAATTTTTTAAAAAATGAAATCATAAGTTATGTGATCTTTTGTTGTCTAGCTTCTTTCACTTTGCATGTTTTCAAGATTCAGCCACACTAAAGCATATGTCACCCTTTTTCATGACAGAATATTCTATTATATAGACAAAACAAATTTATGCATTTGCCACTTGGGCTTTTAGGTTGTTTCCCCTTTTTGACTATTAGGAATGATGCTGTATGAACACATACAAGTGTTTGTGTGTACTCAGTGGCAGAACAAATGCTTAGCATGCATGAAGCACCAACAAAAAGGTTCTGTGGGGATAGGGGCATAGCTCAGGGGTGGAACATTCGCCTGCATGTAAAAGACCCTGAGTTTCATCCCCAGCACCACCACCCACCCACAGAAAGTTTCTCTGTATTTGTCTTTACTCAAATTTTTTAATCCACCTGGAAAGCACTGTGGTACAGGAATTTATTCCTTTTCCTTCTAAAATAGGAAGCTAACTCTTTCAGTCATTTCTCTTAATCCTTAGTATGCTAGGACTCTACTGAACAAAATTTAGTGAGTTTGGCTATGCATATGGTGTTTTAATCCTCATTTATTCACCCTATCTGTTGTTGTGCTGTTTTTACCCTTTGCTATGGGGACTGAAAAGTAGGGCAGGCCTAGTGCACAGAAAGCAACTGCTCCATTGCTAGGCTAAACTAAACTAAGCTAAGCTAAGCTCCACTCCACACCAAGCCTTTGTTGTCTGAAGACACGCTTTTCTCTCTAGTTCTGAGAAATATTCATTTCCTGTTATGGTTTGTGTGTAGTTGTCCCTCCAAAGCCTCATGCAGTCTTGGGTTAGCTTCTGGAGTTTGTGATCAATTACTGTGGGTGTAGATGCTGCACCTGCCCTGGGGCAGGTAATCTGCATTACAATGTAAAGTGGGAAGAGAAGCTAGCTGCTTGAGCTGCTGCTACCTTTCCCTGGTGCTCTTGCTCTTTGCTGCCACCATGAAAGGTTGCCCTCTGCCATGGAGCCAGCTGAGTGTGGACTGAAACCTCCACTAACTGTGAACTAAATAAACCTTTCCTTCCTTCATTTGAGTGTTGGGTATTTGTCCCAGCAACGAGAGAAGAGTAACTAAGACAGAATTTGGTACCAGGAGTGGGGTCGTTGCTGTGGCTAAACCTGACCATGTGGATTACAAGCTTTTAGGAATGTCTTATGGGAAGAGATAGGAAAGGTTCAGAGATGTCGCCTACAAGTGAAGTGCTGAAACAGCTTCGGCTGTTCTGTTTGGGAGATTCTGGTCAGAGCTCAGAAGATCAGAAGGCTGACGGAAAGCCAGCCTGTAAAGACCAGGCTGGGGAGGTTTCTGCTGGGAAGGACTGCACTGGTTGATGGACTCCAGATTACTTGTGTTTTGACTTGGCAGAAAAGTTGTCCGCATTTTGCTTGTGTCCAGAGACTTTGCCTGAGAATGAGTGTAGGCATGGTGGACTGATCAATCTGGCAAAAGATATTTCAAAGCAGCCAAATATTGGGGCAGTGGCCTGGTTGTTGTTGGGGGCTTTTAGCCACATTTATGTTGAGAATAAAAAGCAAGGAGCCCAGCAGGATGGTTCAAAGTGCTGTGAGTTTGGCCAGAAAGGAAGTTCCAATAAAGCTGTGGACTGCAAAGATGGAGCCAAGAGGATCTCATTGTCAGAAGGAAAAAGAGATTGGAAAGGATAGCCTGAGGACATCACGGGAGGTGGAAGGTCTCCACCCTTTGCAGCCTCAGAACTGCAAAGGTCAGGGACTTTGCCTTGAGGGGAAAAACGCAGAGCATCAGGTTCCAGAATGGTGCCAGCATGCAGAAATTATTCCTCCAAATCAGGGTCGGAGTGCTCGGCCACCCAGGCACTCGACCCCTATAGACAAGAGAGAGGAAAGCCTGGCTACTGATCCAGCTGGAAGCAGACCTTGGCATCATCCATGTGGCATTGGTTTTAGGCGCTTGCAGAATGCAGGAGTTCTGAAGTTAAGAAGGCTTCCACCTCCATTTAGGAAGGCCTGGGAGGCACTGCGAGGGCAGTGTGTGAAGCTGTGAGAGAGAAGCCTATTCAGTGGAAAGCCCAGAAGTTTGGAAAAGCCAGGAACAAGGATTATCTAAGGGAAACTGCATGGAAGGAGCAAAGCCGGCCTAACAGGGATGCCATGGGAGCTGCCACTTCAAATGCCTTAGGGGCAGAGCCAAGGCCTTTGGAGCGCACAACTCATCACATATTGCTTGGGACGTCCCACATGGAACTGCAGGACTTAATGTTTGCCCTGCTGGATTTTGGACTTGTGTTGGTCCCAGTGCTTGGTATCCTGCCGTACCTTTTGGAATGGTAATGTTTATCTTGTGCCTTTGAATGTTGCAAGTGTTTAAATTTTCATTTGCATAGGGGCTCACAGCTGAGTTTGCCTTGGATTTTGGAGGAAACTTGGGACTTGGCCTTTTCAGCAATGCTGCAACTTTTGGGACTTCGGCAACTTATACAGATGGACTAGAATGTCTTTTGCATAAAGGGATGTGCATGAGTCTTTGGGGGGATCCAGGGGCGGAATGTTATGGTTTGTATATAGTTGTCCATCCAAAGCCTCAGGCAGTCTTGGGGTGGCTTCTGGAGTTTGTGATTGATTACTGTGGGTGTGGATGCTGCACCTACCCTGGGGCAGGTAATTTGTATTACAATGTAAAGTGGGAAGAGAAGCTAGCTGCTTGAGCTGCAGCTACCTTTCCCTGGTGCTCTTGCTCTTTGCTGCCACCATGAAAGGTTGCCCTCTGCCATGTGCCACCCTGCCTTAGTGCCAGCTGAGAGTTGACTGAAACCTCCAGTAACTATGAACTAAATAAACCTTTCCTTCCTTCATTTGAGTGTTGGGTATTTGTCCCAGCAACGAGAGAAGAGTAACTAAGACACTTCCTTTAGCTTCCCTTCCAACACTTCTGGTATGCTTTGAGACAGAACCTTAGCTCTTCTTTAACGTGAATGAAGAACTTAACAACACTTGCAAAGTAACTCAGAACAGAAGTCTGGACATTCATATACTATCCTCAAATCTTTTATAATTGTTTTGCACAAGCATAACAGTGACTATTTTTTGCAGCAATTCATAAGCAACTTACAAAGCATTCAACAGGGTTTTTCAGGGAGTAACTTTTCTTTATACACATATTTATCAGTTTATGATTAAATGCTGAATAAAATTATGAAACTGAAGTAAGCTTTCCATCAGTACAACTTAATAAATATGTAGATCAGCTGAAAGGCACTAACACACAGTCATTCTACAGAAGGCCAACATCCAGCACACCTTACAGTGCAAGTCTGGCTACCTCTGTACAAGTCTACAAAGGGAACAGCAACGGTGCCAACTCCTACACAGGTTCCTATGCTGATTGCTATACTAGTCCTGGTTCCCTGGGTTTAGTTCCCTTATTGGTCATTTGTCCCTTTCAGTGTGTTGGCTTCTTTCAGATTGTGGGCTCCTCTCTATTGGATAACTCTAGAACGTTAAGGGTCAGGATGGGCAGTAGTACTGCTCTGGCCTCAATAACCTTCTAAGTGTAGCAGGAAGGGGGACAAATGGAGTATTCCTAGCATTTCAACCTGATGAGTCCCTCTTTGCCCAGATGTAAGTGCTTCCCCATCTTTCACTATGGGTCTTCTTGTTTCATAATTCCTCTCACTCTAGCAAACAGGCACCTGTAGAGTTCTACCACTTCCTGGCACCAGTCCTCCTCCTGCCCTCTGGACCTTCCTTTTATTTCCTGACTTATAGGAGCTTCTGAGTTTTGGATTCATCAGGTATCGAACCCCAGTAACTGTGCTTGCCTAAGCATGTACTTAGTCCACTGAGCTATCTCGCCAACCTTCTCCTCAGGGTTTTTGAGAATGAAGATGCAAATGTGCATCTTTTTTTTTTTTTTGTCTTTTTGAGACAGGGTGTCACTATGCAGTTCAGGCTGGCCTTGAGCTCACTTTGTAGTCCAAGCTGGTCTCAAACACACACAGTGATCCTCCTGCCTCAGCATCCCAGAGTGCTGGGATTGTGCTGCCAAACCCAGCCTGTATGTGTGCTTTTAATGTATTTTTCATGATTGCTATAAATTTGGTAGGAAAAGTAGACAGATTTCATGCACCATACTTTGTCCTAGTTTCTAACAAATATTTTATAGTAAGTGAAAGAAATTTTCTCTATTCCTCGCTTTTTAGGACATGTAAACTTGGAAGTTGAACTTTACTAACAGGATTTTCAAGCACTAAACTTCCTAAGATGCCATGATTTCTCTACTTCAGCTAAAACAATGAATTACACTACAGATCACTAAATGCATATTAAGAATTCCTACTTCCACAGATCACACTATAGTTGTACTACATGCATGTTCATATTTAAAAGTATTACATCTAATAAGTATTTGTGGGCAAACATCAATTCTGTCAGGTTTAAGTATGATGGTCTCGGGGCTGGTGATATGGCTCAGTGGTCTAACGCACCTACTTAGAACAAGCTTAGCAAAGCACAGGGACCACGGTTCAATCCCCCAGCACCACCTGCCAGCCAGCCCTGCCCCCTGGTGGGCTGAGCTGGCCACACACACACACACACACACACACACACACACACACAAAGTATGATGGTCTGTTAACTTTTTTTTTTTGAGGTAGGGTCTCACTATGTAACCTAGACTGACCTCAAACTCACAGTGATCCTCCTGTTCCAGTCTCCTAAGTGCTGGGATTACAAGCATGTTAACTTCTTATTAAGGAAATTCATCCCTATTCTTAGACAATAATAAACAACACAAACTGTTCTACAAATTTGCTAACACTCTTCTTTGCGTCCTTTGTGGGAGACTCCTTACACATACTTAATTGTTGGGAAAAGGATTGTTTAAACTATGGAGAACTCTTAACTCCTCAAAAGAAGCCAATTCTGACACAAATGCACATGTATATATGCACACACTCATCTTATGTATCTGCACGTGTATTTTTTAACAAAATTTTATCATGGTACCAGTCACACTGGCACATGCTTGTAATTACAGTACTCTGGGAGTCTGAGGCAGAAAGATCATAAGTTTGACCCAAACCTGGCAATTCAGTAATTGAGGCTCTATCTCAAAAAATAAAAAGGATTGGGGCTGGGGAGATAGCTCAGAAGCTTAAACACCTGCCTGGCAATGCAAGGTCCTGAGTTCAATCCCAGGAACCGCAAAATAAATAAATAAATACATATATACATACATGCATTAAATTAAATAGAAAGGACTGGGGGTGTAGTTAACTGTGAAGGCCCTGGGTTTCAACTCCTGTACCAAATACACACAAAGTATTCATACCACTTTGCAACTTGCTATTTACATTTCATACCAACATCTTTTTTTTTTTTGCGGAACTAGGGATTGAACTCAGGCCCTTGTGCTTGCCAGGGAAGCACTTATTCTACTGAGCCATTTCCCTGGCCCCTTTACCAACATCTTTCAGTATAAAAAATAAACATCACTTATTTATTTTGCAGTGCTGGGGGTAGAATTGGGGCTTCACACATGCTACTCACTCTACCAACAACTTTCAGCCTTAATTCTGAAACATCTGCATAGTACCCAATGTCCTGAATGTGTTATAATTTAGGATTTAATAGAAAGTTTGTATCTTCAGGTTACTATAACAATACAAGTAACACACTTATACAAAAATCTTTATACTTTTGCAACTAGGATAAATTTCAAGCAGGAAAATGGTTCAAGGGGACCATTTTCTGACAGCTCAGCAGACTAAAGCGCCTGCTTAGGCAGAGCGCAGCGGCCGGAGTTCGATCCCCATCATGCCAGGGTGCACTGAGACGGCGATTAAGACTGGATGTGTTGGGGCTGGTGAGATGGCTCAGTGGTCTAAAGCACCTACTTAGAACAAGCTTAGCAAAGCACAGGCACCGCGGTTCAATTCCCCAGCACCACATGCCAGCCAGCCCGCCCCGCCCCCTGGTGGGCTGAGCTGGCCACACACACACACACACACACACATAAATAAATAAATAAATAAAGTTTAAAAAAAAAGACTGGATGTGGTGGCATGCACTTGTTATCTCAGCACTTGGGAGGCTGAAAACAGGAGAATCACTACAAGTCTGATCTACATAGTGAGACCCTGTCCTAAATACAGTTAAAAAAAAAAAAAAGAAAAAAAAAAAGAAAATGGTTCAAGGTCTAATACTGCCACACTGTCTTCCCAAAATGTTTATTCTAGTTCACTTCTTGGTATAGAATGTGACAAAAAAAAGACTTATTTTGAGACAGGATCTCACTATGTATCCTAGGCTGATCTCCAACTTGCGATTCTCCTGCCTCAGCATTCGAGTACTGGAATTACAGGTCTCTGGTTTTTGTTTTTTTTTTTAAATATTTATTTATTTATTACATTTATTTATTGTGCGTGTGTGTGTGTGTGTGTGTGTGTGGCCAGCTCAGCCCACCAGGGGGCGGGGCTGGCTGGCATGTGGTACTGGGGGATCGAACCGAGGTCCCTGTGCTTTGCCAAGCTTGTTTCAAGTAGGTGCTTTAGACCACTGAGCCATCTCTCCAGCCCAGAGCAGGCCTTTTGACCATGTTACAAAATAGAAGACAGCTGGGGGTGGTGATGAGCACCTGTAATCCCAGCACCCTGGGAGGCTGAAGCAGGACTGCAAGTTTGACCTCACCCTGGGTAACTTAATGACTTAGTGAGACTGTCTCAAAAAGGGGTAGGATGTAGTTCAGTGTGAATAACTTGGGTTCAATCCCCAGTACTAGAAAAAAAAAAAATCCTTTGTACACAGTTTATAGAAGAAACAACTAGAAATCAATTCAAGTGTCCATCCAAATGATTAATGGAACATTAATCATTTATAACATTTATATAACACAGTGATAGAAAAATCATCAAGAACACCAAAAGTGGAAATTCTTATAGAAGGAGAAGGGACAGCAGGTACAGGTCAGTCAATGGGGGCCAAAGGACAGTGCCTACCAGAAAGGCAGTTGGACAGCTGCTCATCATCTACAGGTGATGCCTTCTGACTGTTCTTGCCGCTTTGCAAGGGACTCTCTAGCTTGAGTTCACTGCACACCAGAGGTGCTTCGAGTGGACTCTTACAATATGGGTGGTCCAGCAGCTTGGAGCTGAGAATGTTCTGCTTGAGCATGCCTTCCTCCTCCATCTGGCAGCTCTCCTGCTCCGCAGTCTGGTGGGACACAGGCCCACCCACACCACTCCCGGATTCCTCGGCTCCAGGCGCCAGCAGCTCTACCTTGCTGTCACCCACAGTACCCGTCCCATTCTCCCGACTCAGAGCCATAGCGTCTCTCTCTGTTCCTGAGGGGAACATGTTATTTAGATCATGTTCTGATAAGGGGTGCTCACCAGTCAGCTCTGCACTCGCCCACTGAGGGGAGCAAGGCATCTGGTCCCAGGCATCAGTGGCACCACCATTCTGCCGGGCAGGGAATGTGTCATCTATACCAGGCTCCTTGCCCATGTAAAGCCTCCCTTTAGCGCAGCCCTCGGACACAGGAGAGTTCTTTCCCTTTGCCAGCACATTGCTGTCCATATCTGGAATGTGCAGCTGATGCTGGCAAGAAGAGTCTCTACTAGCTTCTGCAGGAGGGAAGGGGCTGCAACTGCCACCCTCCACGTTATCCCTAAGGGTCTCTTGATGGTCTCCAGTGACCTTCTGTACCCAGCTTCGCTGGGCTTTTCTTAGCTTACAGACTTTGCTTTTTGTTCTGAAGTGCTGCGATCTGAGAATTCTATACTGAAATCTTATCATGGATAATTTCTCATACATCATAAGAGGAGACACTTTGATCCTTCGATGCTGGTTAAGTTGGACCTTTCTAGGAATCAAGAGTCCTGCATTCCTGTGGCGCTCCAGCCCTTGGTAGCAGCCATAACAAAAGCGTTTTCTTTTATGGTTGCTCAAAGTGACCACAATCTTGCTGCTCTCTCCTGGACTCTGGCTCTCTCCACTGAACGTCATGGGAAAGTCATGTGGTGCTGTCCTAGGTCTGGGCCTGCGACCGTTGGCCTGACCCACAACCCCACGTGCTGGCAAGCCAGCAACTGCCTTCAAGAGATTCTTCTTTCCACAGGATTCTTGGTCTGAGTTCCTCACTGAGGTCGGCAACTTCTCTGCATGGAGTCTCAGGAGGCCCCTTGAGGAAGAAACGAAGTGCTTAGTTTTCTCTCTTTCCACTTTAGAGGGCAGAGTGCTAGCATTTGGAGCAGCCACACTGGGCGTGGTCTTGGCACACAAGGCTTCATCTTGCAGCCATGTTTTCTGGATTTCAAGAGACTTCTTTCTATACTGGAAATACCCTAGCTGTCTGTTCCAAGTGACTGGCCTTCCTAACTTAGCTTTCAGAATGCACAAGTGTTGGTGAAAATAGAATTTCTTAAAGCCTACAAACCCCGTATTCCATTTTTCAGAAAAAGCAAAGTGAATTCCTTTCCTCCATAGACTTTTCCTCTGTTTTTTCATTTTTCTGATGCATAATGAGATCTGGATGTAGCTATAGAGAAGAAAACAAAAAGTTACATATCAATCTAAACATAAGGTTATGAAAACATTCACAGCAATTAAGGTAGAAAACTGATAAACAAGCATATATACTTCAATGTATGCTGAGACATAATGAAATCTTACCTGATCAAGATTTTCATCAAAGTGAAAATTAGGAAAGTGGGAAAAATAGGCACTGTAACAACACACTATTTGCTATGTATCTGTCTTGAATAGAAAAAGTTTAAAAGTCCCAAAAGAACAAAAACTGGATCAGCACAGTGGTGCACACTTGTAATCCTAGCACTTGGAAGTTGACACTGGAGGATTGCCACAAGTTCAAGGCAGCTTGAACTATATACAATAATGAGCTCAATACCAGCCTAAACAACACAGCCAGGCCTTGTCTCAAAAAACAAAAGGATGTTGATAATACAGTTCAGTTTGTGGCCCAGGGTTCAATTCCAAGTACAGGAAAAACATTTCAAAAATCATTTCCCAGTATGTAATAAATTTCTTCTCGGGCCGGGGAGATGGCTCAGTGGAGTAAGCGCTTCCCTGGCAAGTGCAAGGGCCTGAGTTCAATCCCCGGTTCCACAAAAAAA